AACTCCATGACTAACTTTAGTGTTGTGATGAACTCTATATCCTGACTGAAAATCCCCAAATAAGATGTTGCTATGTAAAAACCAGGAGTAGGCTAGGTATTGAAATAGCCTTAGTTCCTAAGTGTTGTGTGGTTTGAGCTATGCTGTCAGGGTTTAGTTCATCGCTCTTTTATTCATCTGTACCTATTTTAAAACAGGACACAGATCTACATCAAATGCAACTCATATAAATCACTCATATAAATGAATTATTAAATTAACCTGCCAGCCCACTGGAAACCACCATGGTTTTTTGTAATATATTTGTTCATTCATACAGAAACTGTAGTTTTTCTTTGAATGAAAGTGCTTGCGATTCCACAATTTACTGTCTTTGTGTCTTTGTCCGTAGCAGGAAGGCATACAGGTCATATTTCTTTTTTTCCTTGACTTTGACAAAAGCCTTTAACTAAACATCTGAAAAGACACACTTTGAACTGGAATGTTTTACAGAATCCAACACAAACGTTGAGCATTCTTGGCTGCCATAACGGCAAAAATAATCCAAAAAATGCTGAAGGCATTGCTTTGAATCAGTGTTGTTTTACTGCTTTGAGTATTTCTCAAAGGCAGAGCTGCTCACGAGACAGGAGTAATGTCAGTTGTTGAATCGAAGCACTCATTCAGAGTACAATCAATCCAACTGGCAAGCCTGGATAGCAGAAAATAGAACTCTAATCAAAATAGATAACACAAATTCTGGTATGAGCCACAAGGTTTTTTTCGTTAGCTTGCTAATCAGTGCCAGCAGCATCACCAGGAACAGGAAGACTGAGTGTCAGACAGTTTTACAGGGAGCTTAAAACAAATTCAGACTATAATGGTTTTGTCAATTTACCTTCAGGTGCTCAGTACACACACAAATACACGTGCAGAGCGCATTTTTGTCCGCAAAGTCCATTTTTCACAGATGTACTGTAACAGGCACCTAATAGTCCTCATGAGAGCAGATGCCTTCTGATCCAGCATAAAGGTCCAATGTAATTTCAGATACAGCACTGGAGGGCACACTGTCTTGGTGAAATGGTGCTAATGAGGGAAAATTTAATGTGACAGGGTTTTTTTAAAAGTACCTTTTCATTACTTGGGGTGGATGAGTGTACTTTTAAAAGTAGAAATTTTAGAGGTACAAAAATTGGCATACCATTTTACAATTTAGCTTTGCGTGTAACAATATAATCCAAGGTCCAGTCATTCTGCAACTGGAAACCCAGATATGGTTGAAAGCGAGACCTTTGATCGTATGTTGATTGTTGATGATTTTGTTGCATGTGGTATATTGTTACCCAAAAAGTCAAGAAAGAATTGTTCATGCTCAAATTCTGCAAAACTTTTCTATACAAATATTTTTTTATTCTCACTGGAGTTCAGTGATTGAATTGAAATTTTCAAGGATTGTGTCAACAACATTTCCCAATAGAATTTTAAGTGGTTACATTTTTGCCCTGTATCTTTGTATGATGTTGTCTTGTTTGCCAATTTTCTGTGCTATTGCTTACAA